CCGGCAATGCTACTAATTGTTATTTATCATAGTCAGCAGACTCAACAGGGAGGAATGCAATTCCTTCAAACTATTTTCACATGTGCAGAGGGGGAAGTGGAAATGGGCATTTCAAGAGAGGAATGCCATCGGAATGAGCATCCTGAGCCGATCTGTATTTGCACTTGAGCTTGCACTGGGAGGACTGTTCATCCAAAGGCCAAAAGTGGGTGACAAGCCAGTGAATTTCACAGACCTCAGTGTTTCTTTTTAACCACCGTTCAATTCCGACACGGATTGTCTCTGAAATACTTATACCCAATAGGAATGGACAGCTCAGCATATTCATCATAAAGATGTAAACATAATGCACCTTCTGCTGCAAGCCTGTGTCTAGTGCAGGTTGGCAGTATCCTAAAGGCTGCTTCTGTCTGCTGGCTAGCCTGTGCCCTGCGCTGGCGTCTTCACCACAAACCCTCCAACCGTCGTGCAGTCTTTGCAAGAAGTCTGACTGCTTCTCAGCAGAAAGGCTTTTTGTTCAGACACTTCATAAAATAACTTCCCTTTGTTCGTTCTCCAGAGTTTTTGTAACAGCCACTGTTTGTTTCGCTGTTTGGAAAAAACATTAGAAGGAGAAAAACGACGAATTATCTTTTGAGATTGTGCAAACCCGCACTGATAGTTCCTCTAATGTCGAAGCGAAATCTGAACTTAGCGCACCTCACCTAATCATTAATTCCCTGCGTTCTGAGCTACATTTCTAACTGTCTGCCAGGGCACACACGTACCACTGCAGCGGTGCACTCTGGAAACATCTGTGGAGCAATGGAAGGGTGAGGAAAAAGTAAATGGTGGCCTTGCCGTTATGGTTCAAACATGTACAGCAATATTATGTCGTTTAACTCTCAGTTCACATGTTAAGATTTCCATAAGTAAGTTTTCCACCATTTGTGGTGCTGTTACTAAGCTCTAAAGGAAATGCACAACCGTTTCAACAGGGCACAATCCAGGACGTGCAGCTCAAGTGGAGTAATGTGAAAATGTTGAGCTAAAGCCCTTTCTTACACCTTACAGAATCACAGAATCATTTAGGTTGGAAAAGACCTTTCAGATCATCAAGTCCAACCGTTAGGATGTAGCAGGTCTGCACACACAAACTGGTTTTGTTACTGTGGTCTTAATAGAACCATACAGAGCGTGTGAGTACTCTTCAGGAACCTGCTCTGGAGTGCTGGACGTGGAAGCAAGTTTGGTAGCCTCCAAATAGCAGAACTATGGGACTTTTTTAAAGGGTGCCTTTTCCAGCTATTCTTCATCTTTATTAGCCATGATGAAAATTAGCCATGACGGAAAAAAAAATTCTGATCTCCTCGACTGCTTGTAAACATCCTTTAATAGCTTTTTTTTAAACGACATGCAAATGGTTAAATGTTACAAGCATGATTTATCACAAGCGATTATTTCTTGAAATACGTTTTTTGTTAAGACTACCAAGGCACAGGTATTTCTGGTGTCCTGAGAAGATTCATCCTCCATTTTTCCCTGGATTCAACACACCTTTGAATGCTGAGTTTATGAGCAAGAAGAAGATGTATTTTATGCTGAACTCTTTAGGAAAAAAATTTATAACCTTATATTTATAGCGTGCTGTAATCTAAGCTGCTATATTTACCTGCTAACAATGTATGTTCTCTTGCACGGAATTCTGAACTCAAGTGACCACGGGAAGAAAGGTGATTACTTTCTGCCCATCTAGCATATTGCATAACATATATTACACAATGCAGGAGACTGCAGAGCTGAGAAGGCAAAATGGTGACTGTCTATCATCTGTGAAGATAAACTTTGAATCGAAGCAGCGTTCAATAACGGGATGTCATCAGATGCTGACAGCACCAAGGTCACTTGATAGAGAATAGTACTCGGAACTACCTCTCCTTTTCTACAAGTTATGTTTCTGCTGAGATATGAACATTGAACATGAGACACTGAAATATGTGTGAAGTGTAAAAGATACCAAGATTCGTTTTTCCAGATACTTGTATCAAAATGGTAGGCAAGCAGCTGAGACTCAGGGAAAGACTCCCAAATGGCAGGCCAGTAACAGTTCTGCAGCACTAGCAGAACTGCAGTGTTTTATAACAGATGCAACCCTGTCCAGAAGGCTTACAGTCTAAACTAAATTAAATACTACCTAAGCTTAATTACCAGTAGACACACTTCCAAATAGATTCAGTATCCGCTGTCAGCCAGCAAAGCAAGCATTGGCAGCTATTTACATTCTGCTGCTTTACCGGATACAAATTTCTGTTGCTAATGTCATTTAAATAGCGTTTCTGGAACAGAAGAAGTCAGCCTAGAAGTTTGCAGACGTAGTAGGTACTTGAACAATGACTCCTAAGCTTCTGCAGGAAGAGGCAGAACTTCCTCAACTAATGAGCTCGCTACGCACTACACCGTACGCGCAGCACGTGCCAGGACAGCAGCAGTTTGCCCTCACGGCCTTGAAAAATACACCCCCACCCCGCTCCGCGCCCGTGGCTGGGCCACGCAGCGAAGGCCTGC